CGCATAGAGACTCCGTCGAAAATCTCCAATCCCTGACTGACAGATCCATTGCAGCTATTCCCTCAAATGTCGATTTTTTGGCCAAGAAGTTGCTGTACAAAATAACAGATCTCATCAGGCAAAAAATTGGCCGCTGCTAGATGCGCGGATAGGCCTACTAAAGAAGGACGACGTTGAAATAAGGATGAATACTTCGTCTCGGATGAGTGGGGCTTCAACGTGCACGATGCCGTCTGCGCAGCTGTGGCCATTGAACACCAGGCCATTCTTTACCATATTTTATTATTCTACGGGACATACATGATCTTTTCGGGATATGTCAACTACAGCTGTTCGGTGCGCCTGCGGCCTTGCCGCCTCAACGTTCCACGCGGCTTGCAACCGACGACAGTCCATATGCCACCAACATAGCTTGCGAAGTTTGAGATTCAATACACGCAGCGAGTAAATGCTACCTTGAAAGCATACCAGCCAAGCCATCATAAGGTTTCCGGGATGATCGAGTTGGCAATCAGCTATTCAAAAGTCGAGGTCGTTCGACGTCTCTCCATTAAGGTGCTGAAAACTGGCGTGCCGCTACCAAGTTGGATTGAGTTCATAGCCTTGAGGCAGTGGCAGCAATGGCCCATGCAGTCCTTCGATCTTTTGCACCCGGGATAAGAAATGCGAGCCAGCCCAGCCTGTTGACCACGGATCAAAACATTTTCACTCCATTGTTTTCGCACCTGCTCCTTCAATTCAAGTGGATCAATCCAGTTCCGGAATATGGAAATCTATATCCACTGTTTGCGCGCTCAGATGAGGTACCAAAGCCCTACGATGTGCGCATTTGATTTTCCATGTGGAGGTTTCGATGATAGTGTGTTGACGAGTACACATTGCAACCTTGTTAGACGGATGATGGAATGCAAGACCATTGTTACCATACAGTCAACGCTGTTCACTCACAATGTTCGCAAAAGGGTAAGTCAAAATCCCGGTGATAAGATTCCAGTATCAGCTCCACATAACATTCTCACTGATATCACGAATCGAACCTGTGAAAACGTCCATGGGCGATACCGAAATTTTGGGCGCCGGTCCATCTGAGCCTCCTATGCCAATTCCGCCTGACAATACACGCGAAGACTCTGGTTTTGCGGAAAAACCAAGCCCGTGTATCAATCACGATGGACGATTCACTACCGATAATGAAACCTGGAACAAGTATGTTAGTGACACTGGCATGTATTTTATCATGCGTCCAGAGGCAGATCGAGGCTCACACCTCGATGCGGAGGGCTTCGGGGATATTGATTTTGTAGGTCCTTCCGCGGGAGATCTTTGCAACGAGATACATCCCCTGTTTTCACCCGAGCGATTCATTCTGGAAGATTTAGTTGCTGATTCAAATAGTAAGCTTTGGTGCGGTCTCGAACCAGCCATGCGTCTGGCTTCACGTCTGCTCACCAGCACTCCAGTCATGGCTTTCCTCCGCAAAATCAAGTTCGGACACGAAATCACCGACCCATCCACGCAGCGACGCTATCTCGTTGAGGACGCCAACATACCAATGGACGAAGCTAATGCGGAAGTGATGCATGACCTGATGAAGCTCTCAGAGAAGCTCAATCATATCTTCACTGCCATCGGACCAGATCCCGACGGCGCAGACTCCCAGTGTGGGCAATGTCACGCCATCCACTACGTATCGCAATCGGAGTTTGGAGAGCGCATCTTCCTACCTCCTGGTGAGGCAAACAGGTTGCCAACGGATACAGGCAAGTATCATTACATCGTGCTGAACCAGGCATATCGCGAGTATTTCACCACGTCGACAGAACGTACACCATGTCGAGATATGCGAACGCGCTTTCTACTCGCCTCCACGATCATCCACGAGACCGTTGGTCACGCTTTCTACGCACGCAACCGCATTGACGGCAACGAGGATTACGCCGAACCGTTCTTCGCTGTCGATCAAGCAGACATTGGACCGGAGCTGGGGTGTGCGGTCGACTTCTTGCTCTATGGTGTTTACCTCAATGCCATCATTGATAGCTGCTCTGGAGCCCATCTAGAGTGTTGGCCAATCTTGAGTGCACTGAAGGACGGGGAAGTAGTTACTGTGGAAAGCCATGTAATCTCCCCGGTGAGCACTTGCTGGATCAAAGATCTCTTCTCTGAAACTATCTGGAGCAACATCGAGAAAGCTCCAAGCGAGTTTCAGTTGAAAGCTTTCCGCATCCCTCAATCAAGCTGGGGAGCTGTACGCGATAGTTTGGATACCGACCTGTGGCGCTGGATGCCGCGCTTGAAGGTGCTGAAAGATGATGGCACACTTCCCATAGGGCAGCAACGTTGGGCGCATTTAAAGGTAAGCATTGAGGTCTTCGAGAAGAAGAATAAGAAGGCTCTAGAGGAAGAATTGGCAGACACCACGGCATAGTGGCCGCAAATGTGGTTGTTGTGTCGCACTTAAATCTTAGCCATTAGGTATCGCAATGGTTCTTAATCTACATGCTTGAGGAAACCAAAGCCTGTATTAGAATGTGAACGAACCTCTATAGTATCAAAATCTCTCTACGTGCAGTAACATAGCCATTGTCTTTCAGATACTCTTTATGTGACCATATTATTCGATAGCATTGTGCAGCTTCACAACAAGGATCGAAAACAATCTAGCAAGGAAGACTCTTCTTGTTCGTACAATGAAATTGTGACTGAATTTTTTCGATATCGTGTGACAACTACGGTTCGAGCTTTTCGGAAGGCAATACGAAAGAGTGTCATGGTCGCGCCGAAAGAGATGCATAACGAACTACTAACAGCGACGACAAGTTACTAGGCATTGGCAAACCCGTCATATGATATCATGGCGAGAATGGAAGCAGTGCATTCAGTATAGATAATTGACACATTCATCCAATACCTTGAGCTAACCTACGAGTTCGGCCTGCTTGTCGAACCGGATCGACTATTATCAACTAACCAGGTTTCTGATGACTGAATTACGGGCACCTAGAAGATAGCGATAGCCCCCGGTGGGCTTCCAATACCACCCTTCACATGCAGCGGCGCGCTGGTGAGGAAAAACGTATAGCGGCCCATATCTTTACACCTCTCACTCAACTTTTCGAGATCCCACATCTCCCCAATCGCAGTACCCCAGTGAACGAGCAGCCACTCGTGCAAACACCATCCATCGTCGAATTTCGGTGGCCAGGCTTCAAAAGCAACCGTGTCGCCGACCAAGGCGGAAAAGTGGCGGTCATAGAGCCAGCGGACGGTCTTCTCATTGGCTTGCAAACCAATTGCGACGCTGTTATCTCGTGTGCCGGATTTACGCTCCGCTTCGTTCGCGTTGCTGGAGGGTTCAGCTACATCGTTTACTTGATATCGGAGATTGGGAGCTTACTTGTGCCACCTCACGTAGCCACTCCGAATCATCATGATATCCCCCTGCTTTACCGTAGTGCCTTGCCACTTGAGCGTTGCCTCAATCTCCTCAATGGGAATCTCATGTCTCGAGACGGCACTCGGCGCTTTCCCCTTCTTTTCCTCATACCACCTCAGCCAATCACAAAGCACACCTCTTCCCACTATGCCTCCCCTCTCGCACCAATTATGCGTACCGTTAGTGTCTGACTTACTCGCCTCCTCGTGCGTGAGCCCATTGTAGTACGTCCCACTTTTCTGATGCGCGAAATGCTTCAAGGAGTCCCATTGAGAGCCTGCCTGCGTGTTGATGTGAAGCTCATCATCGTTTGCCTTGAACGGGGAAAAGGTTGCAAAGTCAATTCGCTTCTGCTCGAGCTCTTTGCGGTTGAAGCCCGGGAATTGCACGTTATGAAGTTCCCAGTCGAGCTGGATGTGCTCGCCTGTACTGATCTCCTGGGAGGCGGCTTTCACTATAGCGGACGTGAGGAGGTTGATTGCTTAGATGTATTAGATGACGCAAATGGGTGTGTTATTACGGGGTATACAAACTTCCGACTTCATCTTTCTTGCTGTCTTGGTCGAAGAATCCCCAGATGTTGCCTTGTGGCATGCCCTCCACCTTGGGTAGGTCATCGAATGCTGGAAAACTGTACTCTTTGTCTGGCATTTTGTGGGGATATGGATAAGCTTCTCTGTGAAAGGTACGCGCAACCGGTCATAGAAAACTTCGTGTTACGCAGACTTATACAAGCATTAGGCTTCATCCTCCTTGCGCCGAGGTCAACTTCGAGACCCCGCATTGAGTGGGGTGATGGGGCAGCTCCTCGCCGATAGCTCCAATGACGTTGCCATTGCGATTCAGAGGTGCTACCTAATTAGGATACGAAAGATGACGGTTGATAGACACGGACCCGCTTCTGACAAGTGGATACGGTTGCCTAGAACACCTGGGCAAGCTTATGTAATTTATCCTTCCTAACTTATGCTTCACGGAGGGCTCGTAACGTTCACTTGAGGTACATGTATGTGCGCTGGTTTGACAAAGGTCCTTTTATTCGATGAGAGCTGCTCCCACAACCGACCAAGTCATGATAATACATGTTGATCGGCATAGCATAAGGCGCTTACCGAATACGGTATAAGCTATGCCTATATAAGTAATCGCTAGGCCTAAATAGAAAAGAAAATCAAATCCATCCTCATGTTCTATGCGACATACAACCCTGAGATGGCCCCCTAGATCCAACATTTTCTTAGCAAAAATGTCGCGCAAGAGAAAACTGACTGTTCACTAGATACGGCATTTCGTTCTCAATTCCTCGTGCATGGAGGTCTCTCACCTCATCTTTTTTCGCTAAAATTGACGCGGAACTCGAGACCCAAAACCTATCTTTCCACCGATGGCGGTACCCAGGTATACTTTCGGGATTACGAGGTCAGCCATAAGGAGCGGAGCGGCTGCTCTTCAGTTTTCTACTAACTTGCTATCAAAATAAAAAGCATAATGGTGAATCACGCGAGCAACAAGAAACCGGGCACCACGACCCCCTAAAAAAAAAATCCAGGCCCACAAAGAACAATCTCCCCTCATCGATTCGAACGACGGACCTTCCGATTCTAATACGATATTACAGTCGGACGTGCTGAACCAACTGCACCAAGGGGAGTGGACGCGGGCTTGGCATGGCTACATTACCATAACGCTATGAAAGTATATCAAATTTCCGCATTAATAAAGCAAAGGGAAGGAAAAAATAAAGAAGGCGGAGAATTCGGCAAGTAAGGACGAGAGAGCTGAGTTGAAAGTTTGTGGTGCATGAAAGGGCGGAAGGAAGCTGACTGGAGCTGAAGTTTGAACGAAAAGGCGTGAGCTGAGAACGGGAGGATTCATGCGGCTGAAGTGTAACGTGAGACAGCAAAACGTGTCGGGAATACTTCGACAATTCCTCATTTCACATATTACTACCTAGAATTCCATTTCGAGTTCGAACTTAGCTTTTCAGTCTCTGCGTGGGACCTCAAGCAGGATACAAAGCGTAGTAGATTAGCCTCCACCCTTACATTAGGCCTAGATACCTATTATTGGCGTATCGATTTCAAAGACTGAACTCTCAGTTGCCTCCCAAGGTCGCACCTACCTATTTTGCCAAGCTGACAGCGGGGATGAATTAATCCGTGGACCATTGTCGCTCTCAACCTGCACCCAACCAAACCATCATGTCCTTTATTCCCATGATCCAAACTTTTCTCAAATCTATCGTTCAACTATTCAGGAACTTCGGCCCCTGACTTGAAACTTCACTAGCTCTAGCACATAGCTTGAACTCTCTACTCACTTCCAGAAGCTGGCATCGAAGTATGGAGTCGCGCACATTGCAGCAGGATAATACAAACCCTTTCCGCTAAGACCGAGTAAACACCACGTGTCTGGTGCAAACCCCGCGGCCTCCGTTAGTTAACAAGTCTAGATAGATTTAGCAAGCCATCACGCGCCAGTATCAACGCATCACACACTCAGTTGTGAATACAGCTAAACGCATGGATGCATTAACTATTACTACAGGAAACGGCAGCAAGTATGAAACCCCGATTTTGACGACCAAGCTTCAACAGCAAAGTCACACCCTGAATCCTCCCCATTACGGCGCCATATCTTCCTTCCCGCGACGAAAACAAGAAACATGCCGTTTACTACTCGTGTGCTGATGCGCCGTGGCGCAACAATCGTGGTATCATCCATGATTAACCGGAAGGAAAGTCGTAATCATGACCTGCAGCCCCCAAGCATACCGGGTATCACTCTTAAAACAAGCACCTACTAAGCGCGACCCTGGAAAACTGGGTTCTGCTCACCGAAAGTAGTGTTGTACTCGCCAGTAGTTGGCTGAGTGGCGCCAGCGGTGTTGCCGAGGCCGGCAGAGCCAGCGGTAGTAGTCTCGCCGAGACCAGAAGAACCGACGGGAGCGGCACCGAGCCCAGAGGAGCCAACAGGAACACCGGTACCCGATGTGTTGAAGGCGTTGTCAACCTGGGTACCAAAACCTTGTCCAGCAGTAGGTGGAAGACCCCCAGTCAAACCCTGACCGCCAGCGCTGTCGTATTGGTTATCGTACTGGCTGGCCGACGGGTTGAGGCCCTGCGATGCACCAAGACCACGGCTGTCATCCTTAGTGGAGCCGTAACCACCCTGGCGGCCATGGGGCTTGCGAGTGACCTTGGGGATTTGAGGCAGGCTGGAGGTTTCCTTGGCAGAGCCAATGCTAAAGATGGGGCTCTCCCACTTGTCACCCTTAGCAGCAAGTTCCTTGTACTCGGTGGCCTTGGATGAGATACCTCCGGGTAGGGAGATATTCTTGAAGATGGAATCCTGCTGAGTGACAGCCATGTTGACCTGGGTGTCCTTGGTCTTTTCCTTGGCAGACTCCTTCTTCTGCTTTCCTTGCATAACGCGGCTCTGGACAGCAGACGCGTAGCGCTGATACATGTTCTGGATGTTCTGCGGGTCGGGGTTGCGCTTGGCTTCGGCCTCGGCACGATCAGCCTCAGTCTTGATGTCGAAAAGCATACCGTCGAGCTGGTTGGCGGAGTCTTTGATCTGTTTCTCCAGAACCTTCTGGATGACAGGGCGCATGACCTTAAGAAGAAGAGGCTTGAACATGTTGAAGAGAAGCTTGTGGTTGCTCTTCTTCATCTTGATCTGAAGGTTCTTGATCTCGGACTCGACCTTGGTGACCTTGAAGAAGTGGGTCTGCGCATTCTCGCGGGCCTTGTCAGCAGTCTCCATCTCAACCTTGAAGCTGAAGCCGGAGCCGCCCATGAAGATGTCCATGACACCCTTGTCCGTAATGCTGGGGAAGCCCTGCTTGCGCTTGACGTAGTAAGAGACATCGCGAAGATCCATCTGTACACCCGAGACTGAGAGCATGACCTTATTCTTGTTCTTGCTAGAGATGGACTTGCGACCCCAGCGCCAGTAGTTGTCAGAACCAAACTCGAGCGAGTTGGGCGCAAGATTGTCACCTTCGATGACGAGATTCTCAACAACGGCGTCGAACTGGGGGTCGCTGTACTCGATACGTGGAATGGGCACGTAGCGTACGTTCTCGAAGATGCTGGGAAGAATGACGTCGGTGATGTCCTTAAGAAGGTGAGGCTTGAAGACAGTCTTGCCGTTCTCGTCTTGACCGATATCCAGGAAGAGCTTGTTGACAGACTCCGCAAAGCGCTTGTTCTGCGGGTCAGCATCGAACTGCTCGCCGATGAACTTGAATTCGTCGGCGATGCGGTCAGTGTGACCACGGTAACGACCGCGCAAGAGGTGGTGACCGTCATCATAAATCTGGTTCCACTCGTGGGTGGATCGGTCTTCGAGGATATAGCCCTGTTGCTGCAGAAGCTTGCGAATGTACTGGTCGACGCGCTTGAACCAATTCTTCAGCTCAGGGTCCTGATCGGCATCCCTGTAGACCTGGTTGATGGACTCCATGAGATCATCGAAAGAGGTGTTGTTCGCAAAACGCTCGAGAAGTGTCTTCATGTTTGTCAGCCATGGGTTCTGGGACAGAAATCCTGTAATACGCACCTTTAGGTCAGCTTCAGCCGTCTTGAGGGCATCGTCCTGATGCGCACCTTGAACTGAGCCCTTGCTCTGCTGGCCGAGATTCCTGCCGTGACCTGTGTACTGCTCGGCGAGGTTGAGCAGAGTCTCGATAGCACGCTGGTAGTCTTGGTGGCCTTGAATCTCAACAACCATCTTCTTCAGACGCCAGATGGTCTGCTCGCGACGCTCCTCAGGCATCTTGCCCTTGAGGTAGTTGTTCATCTGGTCACGACGGACACGGGCCTTTTCCTTGTCCTCGTCGGATGTGTTCTGGTCAACCTTCTGCTTGGCGGTCTCAACAGCACCACGGGTGTTTATGCCAGTGCTCTGGCCAGTCTGGCCCTCCTGGGCGCCCAACTCGGCGGTGTGACGAGGGTCACGGGAGCCTTCGGGGTTAGCAGACTGGTTGATGTCCTTGGCGTGCTCCTTCAACTCTCCCTTGTCCTTGTTACCGAAGGGCATGCTGCTCTTAGCTTGGTTCTTGAGGTTGTCGCGGTTCAAGCCGGAGGTGTCGTGCCAGGTGTTGTCCTCGGCGGGCTCATCTAAGCGGTTCAGGCGGTCTTCTGAGGGCTTGACCTTGTTGGCTGTGTTCTGTGCGGCATCGCCAGCCATGTCGCGGAGAAGGACAGTGGCATCAGAGAGCAGCTTCCGGAATTGGCCGTTGGAAACGAGCAGGGTGCCGAGAGTGCGTAAGCCGTCGAGTGCGTCATTGCCATGCTGCCTGGCAGTGTCCTTGTCAACAGGCGCGCCGGGCAGACTGGCCGTGTTGCCACCGAGATGCTCGGCTTGCCAGATGAAGTCCTGGAGGAGGTTGCCCTCGTTCTTGGTCAGGGCTAGGACCTTGGCCTGCTCGATGACGTCCTTGAGATCTGCAAGCAGGTGCTGGCCCTCGGTCGACAGCTTTTTGGACGGTGAGCTGAGCGACCTATGTGCGAGCGCCGAGTTGAGCGCGACATCGATCTGCTTGTTTGAGGGGACCTTGCCGTTGGAGAAGGCTGACTATGGTTAGCAACGTGTTTACACGGCTCTACGACGTCAAGCGGGCGAGGGCAGCTACGCCAATTGCACATGTACACGTACCTTCGAAGATGCCATAGAGCTGCAGCTTGTTGTTGACGTCTTTCTCTTTCACCTTCAGGTCCACCGGACCTGTAAACCGTTAGCAACTCTGTCGTGCTGAAGCGGGGTAGGTATACATACGGTTTACGGAACTCATAGTCGGGGCCTGCTGCTGTGGGTATCAAGGTGGGGTATCAAAAATGCAGACGCAGAGCGGAAAACAATGGGAGGGTGAGGTGGATGGGTAATTTCAGGTAGTGGGTATCTGAGTGGTGTGGTGTATGTGTGTGTGTGTGGAAGGTGTGCGAGGGCGGGCAGGGCAGCTTTGTATTTGGGGATCTAGGTAAGGTGACACGAGCGAGTTGCAAGCGGGAAACTACGACGCAGTGACGTAATCTGGGCAAGAACAACCCGGCCACCTTGTTTGAAGTGGAAGGGCCCCCGCAACAGCGACTACCTGAGCGGACAGGACGGACACTGTGCCTGTGACTGCATCGATCGAGGGCCGCGGACGCGCTCCAGCACAACGCGGCAGCCCAATTTTCCTGCTCATCGCCTGCCTACGGCCACAATCGTCTCCATTTCGCTGGTGCACGAGGTTAAGCCAGGCTCTAACGAGCTGTGTCCTGGCGGGTATGACGAGCCTGGGGATGTGTTTGCGGGATCGATCGGCGCCAGGTTCCCAAAGAATTTGTCCCGGTTGCGTCACTGGCATTCCATTTCAGGCTGTCAGCCACAGCCTCGATTCCGTCTTATGCGAATTATGCCATGGCAATTGATACTTGTATCGCATACATGAATTTTTTCCCTGTCGCAAGCCAAGGCGTTGAACTTCCGCTCCTTCCGTGCCTTGTCCCTCAACGACGAGGAATTTGGAAACCGCGTTGCGTGCACGCAAACTGCCCGGGTCGCGCCTTCCTCCTCGTGCGCCACATGTGATGCCCGGGCCCCTGATCAGTACTGCCAGCGGTCTTGGCCACGCTAACCACATTTGCCGGTAGTGCATTT